CAGGAATGCGCGAGTCTGCTGCTTGAAGCTGGGGAAATCATTTCACCTTTTGGTACCTCAGTTTCGTGGTATAAATAATGGGGGTAAAGTTGCTAATGACATTTGAGGGCTGTGAAAATGAAGGATTATGTATCACTGCATTCCCAGAAAAGCAAAGTCATATATAACACCGATATCAGTATTTTCTGCATGTGACAGTTTGAGTTGTTTTTGCGGTGTCCTTCAGGCAGCCTTGAACATTTTTGTGCACGTGCACTTGTATGTCTGTGGATGCCCGTCTCTGCAATGCAGAACAAGACACAATATGAACTCACTTTAAAACCCACCATCCCAGTCCTTGAGCTCCCAGGACTTACATCTCTGTAATTACAGAATGACGCGATAAACCGTGGAAGAACAGAAACTTGCAAATCAGATGCACAGAAGTCAATTCATTCGGTCAGTTCTGCTGATGCAGGAAAACGCGAGAGGAAGGCTGAGCCTCCAAATGCAGGCATCAGCAGAACTCAAAGAATATATGAAGAATTGCCTTGGACCTAACCCCACTTAGCTCGAATTTCACGCACTGGGACGCATTCCAAAATTATCTCACCCACTTTCTCCATCGCAAAACCTATGAATGTTTGCTTCCTGGTCTGAGGCGAGAGAGATCCCAAGCCGTGAGTCTAATCCCCAGGTGTGAGCTCGGGCTGAGCTGGAGAAGAGCCTCCTGCCTCCAGATGTTAAGCAGCTGTGGCCAATAACCAAACCCATCGTGATACCTGTCTTACAGCTAAGGCTGTACTACTATAGACGGCCACAGTAAATGAGGGAAATTGAAAGAAATATGGAAAAAACACTATTTTAGTCACTGAGGCAAGGGTTCTGTAGAAATTTAGTCTATATTATGATCTTCAGGCCTAGGGAGAAGTCAGTTAACGTCCTTCAGGCTGAGTATCTCCTGACCTACAAGCGCTTGCCATGTTCATGTCTGTTAACATCATTTTTTATGTGGGAGCTGGGTAGTGGGGGAAGGGGGTAAGAAGCTATATAAGATTGGTAAAATATTTAAGCAAGTGAGTTGAAAGAAAAGACAGAAGACTATCAGGAAACTTCAGAGAGTTGGTATGATCTCATTACACTGCGTTTATGAGACCAATATGTTGTGTAATCCAGGTGGTCGGAAGATTAGAAAAGAGCCATGCGAATGATTTAAGAGCTGAGAAATGCAACATAACTCTGCTTGTGTCATCATGTAGTCCAGGAAGAGGCTGAAGCCCACGTACGTGGGGGGCATTTCTGATAGCATAGTAAAAGCTTTTAATGAAAAAGGCAAAAGAGGCTGAGGAAGTGGCAGATAAAGCTGGAGGTATTTAGGCAACAAGGGGAATGTAAACATGTCCCCACAATGGAAATTAAGTATTGAAACAAACTTTGTGGGAATGGGATGCATGGTCACTCCATGTCCATTTCCCTGTTAGATGTGCTGTACCTTAAGCACAGCTTGTGGTTAATTTAACAGGTGGAAATCTCCTGGTGTGCAGGTGAGAGTAGATGATGGACATGTTCCCACCAGCCTAGAAACCTGTAAATCTGCCAGAATCTCGTTTCTCCCATTTGTGGGATGTATTATGTCCTGTTTCATGGGTGGGGGGACAGACAGAGCAGACATAATTTGCCTTAGGGCCAGAATGGCCAGCGTCAGAGCTGGGACTTGTCAGCAGCTCTCAGCCCCTGAACATGACTAGATGACCACTAGTGGTCCCTTCCAACCCTAAACATTCTATGATTCTATGATTCTATGATTCTATGTGGGTTGACTTTTCTCCCTCCAGACAAGCAGCAGGCGAAGGGATATGGGATAGAAATGCTTCTGAACTCCCCGAACCTCCAGTGTCCACAAAATTGCAGAGATACTGATACTTCCTAGCATGTATCATAATCTCTGTACGGGGACCTCCAGGCTGACACAGGGAGAACGCCCATGTGTCCTTCTCATGGCACTTGCTATTGACTTTCACGTGGAGCAGGCAAAGGGAAAAGTCTCTTTGGCTTTTCTGACTCCCAGAAAGCATCCAGGTGAGTGAGTGAAAACCAGAGAAGAGTTATCCCTTCTTCTGCCCAGAGGGCTGGCCCTCTCTGTCACAGGCGTGACATATGGATGGCAGCGCTGAACAACCCCACTTTCTTGTCCTTATGGGAGCATCACATAATACACCAGGACACATAAGTGGGGGATTGCAGCTACTGTTTCTCTCTTCAGCTCTGTTGTTGTTACTATTGTCATTTCTCCCTTCCAAGCCATCCCTGCCCTCTATGTATTTCATCCACTTAATATGTCCTCGCTGGCCATTGCAGCTGTCTGTCTGGAATGAGGTTTTTCTGTAATACACATAATTCTAATTATGGGAGCAAGTAGATATCGAAGAGTATCAGTAAAGCTGTACCCTGTTCCTAGTATTGTTCTGGAAGTGAGCGGTCCTATGTTAGCTACATTGATATCACTAAAATGTGCCTCAAAAGGATAGTTAATATGAACGTTAGCTATGAATGTTAATACGAATATGATAGTTAAGATGAAGAGGGAATAGCTCCATTCCAGCCCTGCTGTGCTGTCCCCTCTGTCCCTCTTAAATCAGGTCTCCTCTGCTTTGAATTGGGGCAGCTTAGGTAGACAGCCTTCTGCTAAAATATTTTATATTTGAGGAAGCTCAGGAACCCATTTTCCATGGTCTTCTATCCGTTTGCTTGTGTGTGCACTAAGGTTGGAGGCCAAGAGCGTGATTAAGGGAGAGAGCCTTATTGCTGTATAGCAACTATATCTGCACGTGGCAAGGCCATTTCCTGCTGGAAGAAGCAGGGATCTCTCTCAACTCAGTGTCACTGGCTTTCCAGCCCCCAAACCCCAAATCCGATACTTCTCTGTCAGCAGCCACAACATTTAATAGGCTGCAAAACCTCAGGCTTTCAAAATATTTGCGCAGCGATAGAGTCAGCTTTACTGGGGCTCGCATATTCCTCGGCCACCTTCGAAAACGCTCTGTGCCTTAGGGAGCACGCGTTGCTGGAGTGCCGAAAAACTCCAAGGCCTGTTGGCTCTCGCCAGCAGCGGGGAGGACTAAATGTGGGTCCTGCTTCACTTTCTAATCTTAATGGGCCTGCAGGCTGGGCTGGGACACGGAGAGGGTAGCAGCCAAGTAGGGAGCAAAGATGCAGCCCTTCAGGGAGGACGGGCATTTCCCCGGGGTGCACAGCGGCAGGAGTTGCACTGTCGGGCTGTCAGCAAATGAAATTGTCGGTGATGGAAAGACTGAAGCAATATAAGTCAAAGATAATAGTAAGTTTGATGATGACCTGCTTTTCCGAAAAATGCAGGAACAGCGCAGGAGATTTTTCCATTAGTTCCGGAAAAAGATTTATAGCGTAAGCTCACCTTTCCCTTTGAATGAGACATGAACTGCCTGAACTCAAACCCATTAATTTTTTTTTTCTTAGTAGCTTATTCTTTTGTTTTAAATAGAGCTCTAGCCTTGCACTTTTGTATTGCCATTTTGTGTGAGTAGATGGGATAAGAAATTAGACTCACGGCATATGGGTAGCTGCAATGTTTGTCAAAACATACAAAGCAGCTTTGACCTCTCTGCAGTCTTTTCTTCCCTCTGGGCTATAATTCTAATAAATAATTTTGGCTGTAGCTGAGAAAATAATACATTATTCTGCTTCATGAATATTTTCTCTCTTCTTTTCTACCACGAGGGGATTAGAAATAATGGAGTGAATTTACGGCAGGGCATTCCCCATTTCACAGGTACAAATCAAAGTAAGTACACATCCAGCTACCCGTCTGTCTGTATAAATCAGGTAGATTACAAGCACAACTGGTCAATTAATTCCACAGGTATAAGGTAAGTGCACAGGGCTTATGCATTGCTCCTCTGAACAAACCCTCATACGCGTCTCAGCCTCTGCCTGAGCAAGGACCAGTGGGAGCAGTAAGTTCGTTACCATGGGTTTGCCTGGCTTTTGTAAAATTGCCAAGATGACCTGTCTGAATTGCAACAGAGATCACTAAACCAAAGGCAATTCCAGAAAATAATGATCCACCAGCTTTGTGTTACGCCAGCCCACCGGGGGAACGTTATCCTGGCATCTCTGCGGTCGGCAGGTGCCTCTGGCCTTGAGACCAGAGAATTGTATCAACAAGTTTCACTTGCTGGCCACTTAGTCTTGCCTAATTGCTCTGCTTTAAGCTCAAATATTTCAGATTGCAGAAGCTTAAGTGCGGTCCACAGATAAGAAAAAAAAGGCAGGCTTAGGCACTGCCAATGCCCAGGCAAGTGTGGGGAGCGGATTACGCTTATCAGTAGATCCCACATTCTGATACAGCTGATGGAGACAGACAGGAAAACCCCATCTGTTCCCCTGGCTGGTTGGTGATGTTTTGGAGCACGGTCACAAAATACCCAAAATCCAAGTTATGAATGGCAGGTGACAGAGGCAGGGATCAGTGGCAGTCCAGGGCAGAAGCTTTTGGTATTGAAGACGTGCAACTACCAGCCTGTGAATTTGGTATTTGAGTCTAGGACAAGTGTCTCCCACTGCCTGTTTGCTAATGTGCTCATTGCTGCAGTGTCTGAACATGCTAGAAGCAGAGAAGATCTGCGCGGAGGCATCTTTCTCAGTCCCTGGGGAGTGTCCTCTGTCCTAGACGGTCTATAAATCCCTGCTAGGGTATGAAAATGCCATCAGTTACAACACCAAAGCTTTTCATTAGCCACGCAGCCACATCTTGTAAACTGACATTAAAAAGAAAGTAAAAACTGCATACCCTGCCAAGCCCAAAGCCTCATCTGCTCAGCCCAGATTTTGACTTAATTGTGTGGGGTTTGTTAGGAAAGAGCTAGACCTGGCTGAGAGTGAATGGTATGAATGAAGGTCACCAGCTCTCTCCTTAAGTAACGTAAAAAACAAATCCGTGATATTGATGAGTCCTTACTGAAAGGAAATAACTGATTTTTTTGACATGTTTCTATTGACAGCAGTTTTGCTGACAGTCTGCTGCATGAGGAGGAAGAAAAAGACATCTAACCCGGAAAACAATCTGAGCTATTGGAATAATGCTATTACCATGGACTACTTCAACAGGCATGCAGTAGAGTTACCAAGAGAGATCCAGTCCCTGGAGACTTCAGAGGTACCTCACTTGCAGAACTGGTGTCTGAGAACTGTAACTGAAGCCATGCTGGGCGAAGGGGAGAGGGAGTCGTATTAATAAAGCCTTTAAATCCTTATGCATAGTCAGGGAAACACCTTTTTGAGAAGGACTCACCCCTACATGTGTATAAGATGGAATAAATATGTCACCAAAATTGGATTGCCATCCTTTTCCCAGCCATTGCAGATATGTTCCGTATTGCTGTGTGGTCACGGGAGTTAACCACCTCTAGGTGAATTTGTTCCCAGGTTTCTCCTCCTTTAGAGCCTACAGCCAATATCTAGCCGTACCATGACTGCTTAGGAGTGCAGTTTGGGCTGGCTTGTTACTGACAGTCGGTCCATTCTAATCTGCCTGTCGTGCTGTGTCCCACACAGCATCAGATAAAGGGGGGTAGTGGGCATTAACAATGCAAAGAAATTCTGTGCATTTATGTCTCGGGAGCTGCCTACAGCTTCTCAAATTCCAGGGAGTGTTCCCTGTATATAAGCAATCAGCAGAACATCAATACATGACAGCATGCAGTGGTGGTGTATACTCATCGGCCTTTACTTAAGGGATCTGACTGGTTCAGTGGGATTATTCATATAGGGGCAGGTGATGCTACTCATAGAAATGCATTCCCTGGCCTCAGAGATAGAGAAGAATAATTTAGCTTAGTTCAAAGGTATTTAAAACCTAGAAAGAGTGGAGAGTTTGGGTTTATGCTAAAGTGACCTTCACATCAGCTAGCTGACTAACGCATCTCATTAAATTAAAAAAAAAAAAAAAAAAAGTGTTTAGAAAGGAACCTCTGAGACGTGACCAGACAAGCACTCACAGTTCCTTCATTAACCCCACTTTGCTGGCAATCACATAGCTCGAGCTAAGACAGGACCTGGTCCAGACTTACCAAGAACTGAATGATAGGCCTATTCACATACAGGGTGATCTCTGAAAGCTGTCATCTGAGTTATTTAAACCAGATCAGAACACGACTGAACTGGGGCATGCTCGGGTAGCTTGGAACCATATATGTGGGTTTCTGACCTTAAAAAAAAGCTGAAAACGAATCTTTGAGGAGTCAAGGCCAGCTGATAGGCAGGAAACTGTGGCAATGTGTCATGAAAAAAAAAAAAAAAAAGAATGTGAAAGTTCATATTCTGCTAAGAAACCTGGAGTTTGGTGCATCTGACTTCTGGGTCCCCAGACTGAGAAAGAATCAGCCTGACTGTCAGAGGAGCCCTTTACTTAATGGCTGCTACTGCCTGAGGAAGGGCAAAACGACCTCATCAAACTTAGCTCTCCAGGATCCAGGGCCCCCAAACTTCAGGCACTTTTGGAGGATCAGAAGCAGCAATAAAAAGAAAAAAAAAACCCTGTCCATTTCTCACCTGCGTTTGCACAGGGCAGCGGGGTGCCCTGCATGCTCACAGGGAGTGAGGGGTGGGAAGTGCTCACCCTGCTTCTCTGTCTTTCTCCCAGGACCACCTCTCCGAGCCGCGCTCCCCTGCCAACGGCGACTACCGCGACAGCGGGATGGTCCTTGTGAACCCCTTCTGTCAAGAAACGCTATTTGTAGGACACGAGCAAGTCTCTGAAATATGACCCCACGGCTGCCCCCGTATTGCAGTTTCATCTCTACTGTCTCCAGATTATAAATAAATATATATATTATAAATATAACCTTTGTGTAACCCTGAATTACAAGAAATGTTTTCAGCTTTTCTTTTCTCCCTCAGAATTGTCAACCCCTTTTTTATAGTGTGGTAAAACTTTACAGAACAAATTGTGGCTTTATAAAATAAAGGTATTTCTAAGCAAAATACCTGTCAGACAGACTCTTTTCTTCACTGTCATTTACAATCTGCTGCTAAATAGACTCGGTCTGGAAGAATATTGGCTGGTTTTGGTGCAGGCAGCATGTGTTGGGTACAGCATCCTGCATCCTACGTGACATCGCTCAGCCTGGCTGTGAGCGTTGCTGCTCGGTGACCGTCCCTTCTCTTACTGTCAAATGACTTCAGTCGCTCCTTTCCTTTAGGCTGCCGAGGTAGAACACAAACCAGACGGGACCAGCTCCGTTGCCAGAAGCTGTATCCTTTGCATGACTCTAGCACTGCCTGAGCACCGACTGGAATGAGCCCTTCAGAGTCCCCTTTCCAGTTAAACCCAACTGGCGTCTGCCAACCCAGCAGCGGGAGAGCCGGGGAGCTGGGCTCCAGTAGGGTGATAAAAAAACCTGATGCACCCGCGGGATCCAGGGCCACGCAAGACATGGGCAAACCTGTTGGGGTAGTAATGTTGCCCCGTGAGTTTTTTTGTTACCTCCTTCAGATTTAAACGGGAGAGTGAAGTTCCAGTTTGAGCTCCAAAACTGTTTTACAGCAGCAAGGACCACAGTGACCATTTTTCCTGCATAACTGTCCTAACCACACTACACATCGGACACATAGCTGGTCCACTCCGGCCCAGTGAGTCCTGAATTATTTCCTGCAGAGCAAAGAGCCTCAGAAGAAGGCACATAGAGTGTTCCCTTCAAAGGAACAGAAACGTCACTTGAATTTATCAGAAACCTTGAGATCTGGTGACTGGGGACTCCCACCAACTGAGTGCTGTGGCTTTGGCCACGTTTCCACTTCCCCGCTGTTTTATCTTTCTTGTGTGGTTAGGCTGCTAGTGCCACTGAATCACGTTTCCTCACACCCTCCTCTACTTCCTGAGACTTTCCTTCCTCCCCTTAGGAATGAAAATGCAGTGTTTCAGAGCAAAATCGCATTTCAGTCCTACCCAGTTGAGTGCTAGATCGCAGGTTGTAATAGTGTTAGGGGAATAGTAGGGGTGAACGAAGCTTAAATGATGGATTAAAAATAGGTTGTTACAAGGAGAGGCTCACATGGAACATGGAATGACTTTGCCTAAATCGATGCTGTCTCTTTGAGTAACCCAGAACTGTTACCATGGGGCCAATTTTCAGTTTTACTTCTCAAACTGCCTTTTTTTATCTGGTTCAGCAAGTGAAATGGCCTTTGAGGTCTCGACCGTCCTCTCCCCAGCTCTGGCCATCAGCCCTTGTGGATGATGTTCTGCCTTCACTCCTCACTTCATCAGGAGCATGCTGTGAGGCAGCAGGCAGTTTGGCCCCTGCTCCAGCTGGCTGCTCAGGTCTATCGCTGGGTTGTGTGAAAGGGAAGCTCGAGCTGGACAGGGTTAGTGTAGCATCATTAACCACATGCCTTGTTCAAGGTGAGCCACGGCTGGTACCAGAAAAGGGAATTATAGCAGCGGCACATCTGGTCCAGCAGTTCCCACCTGCGAGCAGTGTCCCAGTGGCTGCGGTTAGTCAGAGCAGCCTGACAGATTTACTAAATGATGGCTGGAACCCGACCAAGACGTGGCTCCCACCAGGACTGGGGGGCCACAGAGGCACTGTCGTCCCTCCTTTCTCCCTGTCCCACACGTACACTTCTACTGTGCTGAGGCACAAACCTGAATATGGGCCACAAGCTTCCTAAAATTAGAAAATTGTAGTGTTCTAGGGGCTTTCCTAGATACTCAATTTTCCGCTTAGAATCAGAGAGTAATGCACCGCTTCCCTACAAGGTGACTGGGGCAGGCAGGAAGATGTGGCTGTGCGTGGATGTGGATGGGCACTTCAGGAATATATCTTTTCACCGTGGGATAAACACCATGCAAGATGATATCTGCAAGCCTCATGATCAAATAATAAACGGCCTCCTGGAAATCACTGCTTGATTAGAGAGTAAAAACTTCCTGAGAGTCTTGCCAAGAGCAAAAGCAATCCCATGAGGACCTTCATCTTCTATTTCAACAGGGAGGTGGAAAGAGAGAACAAGATGACAGAGAACTAAATTCAGTTCTTTGCAAAAAGGGCCATACTTTTGCATTTGTTTTCTGTACACGGTATTGCTTTTGCAAGGCAGATTTTTTAATTTTATTTTATTTAACACAGAGCAAATACACTGAAAACGTTGTGTAAGAAATACTGAAGGATTCCTCTCATTTAGCCAGCACAGTTTGCTTGGTAATCTAAATGCAGAATGCCTAGAAACTAGCCAAAAATATTTGCAAAGCTGTGAGATGCTGTGCTATTCCCAGGCTTCACGCAGCTGGGAAATGGTGACCTGACTGTAGGCAGTCTCGCAGTTCTCAGAGTTAAAAAACAAGCGAAACAAACTCCAGTCGCAAACCCGGCAAGCCAGGATTAGGCACCCACGGAAGACAGGGATTTCTGATTGTATTCCATCTCGCCAAAGACTCACCGCTGCCCCTGTATAAACCTACACCGCATTAGGGCAATGCCCAACATCAGCACATTGCAGGCATGCCTGCTAAGACGCGCACACGGTAACCCTCCACTGGAACAAGTGAACAAGTCCTGGTTGCGAAGCAATCCTGTGTGTAGGTAGACAAAGCTATACCAAACATCGTATAGTGAAGCGTCCCGCTGTACCGTGCACACATCCTACTTACGTACCTATACATGTGTTTAGGGCCATGGTTTAGTGGTGGGATGGCAGGGTTAGGTTAACAGTTGGACTTGATGATCTTAAAGGTCTTTTCCAACCTAAACGATTCTATGGTTCTGTGATTCCATGAAACTACCTGCCTGATGGCTAAAGAGCAGTGACATGAAAAGAAGAGCAGGGGAAAAGTCCCCCGTCCCCTGCAATAAGTCTCCGGGATTGTTTTGCCCTTTTCTTTCGGCCCACAGTTGCCTCGCTTTGTCACTGTGTTATGCAGGCCGAGTGAAATGGTTTCTTGTTGAACAGACCAGGTGCAGTTGATAATGTGACATTAAACCGGCTGAGCAGGGGTAGGCATGAGGGGGCTTGTCCCTAGTTAAAATCTGCTGGGCTTGGTGCAATGTGCCTTGGTTGGGCGGTGTAGCCAAAGCGCAGAGAAATCCAGAAGCTGCAGCAGGCCTGAGGGAGCATTCGAGGCTCTGTGGCAGCAAAAGGCTGGCTCGGCTTGGCCGTGGCCCTGCTGGCTCCTCAAAACTTTGAGTTTTGGTAACTTTAGGTAACGTCTTGCTCTAGGAGACTCTGTCTGGAGCAAGCATGGGTGTTGGGCGGCCAATGCATTTGTAACATGTCTCGATACCTGCGGGTATAAGGGTAGGAAATCATCTGGGTGTCAGTGTAGAAAACACCTCTGGTATTTTAACACATGTACGTTGTACTGAATCCCCGTCCCGCTGTCCCTGTAAACACCATTGTGCTTTTCATCTGCCACATTTGCAGCAGCAGCAGCAGGGAGATTTCCCCTGAAATGGGATTGCTGACCCAGCGGCCGCCTGGACAATGTGACGGGCGCTCCCGGGCAGC